CGACGACGACACCAATCAGCAATGGAGTCGACACCCGTTCTGAACGAAGGAAGCAGATAACTCGACCCAATTATAGCACGTCGGAAAAAGCTCCACGAGAACGATACCGGCATTGGGACCTTTCAGTCAAAAATTAGAATATATCTTCACACAGAAGAAAGGAGCAGGAATTAGCTGATGAAGCCGTAAGGTACCAACTCGAAGTACTTGGACTCTCGTCAACAAAGTGCCAAGACCTGAACCTCTGAGGGTTTAAACAGTTCTGCTCAGGTACCGCTATCACGACGTGCCTCAGATTGGTGTTGGTGTTCAGGTGAACCCAACCTGGTTTGTAGAATCACTGAATGGAAGCCTATCAGCGAGAGAGGGCAATCCTCTGACTGAAGAGGATAAAGCGTTGACCTTGTTACAGATCTATGCACCCAATTTCAAGGGAGAATTTAACTTTTTCGTTGAGGAAGTGGACAATGTTCTGTAAGAAGTGCGGAATACCGAGACCCTTATACTCATGGAAGATGCGCATGTCGGAGAAGACGTTGAAAAGTGAAACGTCGTTACTGCCCTAGCGATCTCAACAATAACGGCATGAAGTTTTGCTATGGTTCTGTGCAGACAACGGACTATCCATTAAGAACACCTTCTTCGAGCATCGAAGCGTGCAACAGTATACCTGGCAGAGAGATGCTTGTGCACAGAAGTGAATGATCGATTTGATAATCGTATCGTCTGAATTAAGACGCTCAGTAACGGATGTTCGCGTTAAGAGAGGCGCAGAGCTATCAACTGATCATCACCTTGCTATTGCGCTACGTTGCGCTATAAGACATGGGGTACCATGCGAAGATCTGGTGGAAGAAGCAATCAGAGAATCAAATGGGAAACATTACCTTCCGTGGACATGAGAGCGAAATTTGCAAACAACATAGCACGACGCTTTGAACAGATCTCAATGATGACTGATGATGTGGAACCGAGTGTCAGCACTTGAAGAAGAGCGTATTCGAGGCTGCCGCCGAATGCTGCGGATTTAAACGGGTTGGTCTGCCGCATGAATGTAAGAAAAGACCTGATGGACAGGAGAGGTACAACTGGCACTTAAAGAAATGAAAGCTGTATTCGAGAAATGAATTGGAAACAAAGGACTCGCATATGAGGTGTAAAAGCATGTAAGGGGCAGCGAAAGCAGTGGCGAAATCGAAAACTGATTCCTGGGAGAAGATCTGAGTGGTGTTGAGAGCAATTTAATTTAAATTAATTAATTTAGTCTACGAACGTATTAAATGGCATGTGTTGAGTCAAAGTGTGATTAGTGTACGACTGAAGTTTCAACGTGACATTAAAATCAAAAATAACTTATTTCGTACTGTAATAAGCGAAGGGTCAGAGCTGCCGACGATGAAACTCTTCAACTGTTCTAACTCTGCGTCATCGTTTGCGCTATTATCTAAAAAACAAGAATGAAAGAAACGAAACTGCTGATTAGACGAAGGACCAACAGCCTATACCATTCTCATCTTGGCAGCAAGCGGTGAACTTTTGCGAAACCAGCTTCTCGATTGTGGCCGACTGTTCGTCGATGCACTTCACCATGTACGCTTCGTATGCCCTTTCGTTCATCACTACACATCTGCCACCTTGTCGCTTTTCCAGAAACTAACCGTCTCAGTAGTTAGCGTGTCGATAAACGGTTAAAGATTGCTTACCAGCAGGGGATATTTGCGGAGGAGGAAGACATC